TTTTTTTTATTTTTAAATGTATATTGTAAAGTAATTCTCATCATTATTATTTTATTTATTAAAAGATTACAATTCATTTACTAGTCTTTCGTTTTTTAATATGCATTTTACCTTTGTAAACCAGCGTAATCCCTTATTTTGACAAGAATTGCACAATGGGTAAATAGTTTGCCATTCATTTTTACTCTTTTCATCGGGTTCTACCAATTCATCTGCTTCTCCACAAAAATAACAAATTGGTAAATGTTGAATTTTACATGAATAGTATATTTGCTCTATATGATCATGACATGTTTGATTTATTCTAACAAAAAAGATATTATAAAGCGGATGGTCTTCTGGAAGAATAGGCAAACCACATATGTAAGAATAATTTTCAATTACAAGTTACATGCTAAGTTGTTCATCCTCCTTTAACATTTTTTGACTAAACAAACATCTCAATTTTCCACAGTTCATACACCTTATAAAATCACATACTTTACTCAATACTAATATACCATCAGATGCATGTTTTTTCTTATTTCCTGGTTTTTGTTTGCTTGGTAAGTCCTTTTCAGTAGTAATGTGACCATACAGTGAATTAAAATCCTGAAAATGATCAGAATCTAAATAAAATATTAATTAATTAAAATCTATTATATATGTTTATAAAAGTTTTAATTTTTACTTACCTGAGGATAATTGAGGATCTGGAATAAAGTGAATATCATTAAAAATATGTTTTGGAAAGCGAATTGACATACATATACGATATTCCGATTGGTTGCATTTTTTGATCTTTAAAAAAAATGTAAAATTTTAATATTAGAATTAAATAACAAAAATGTTAAATAAATATTATACATACCTGAAATGAATATTCGCGTATTTGACAATGTGTACGTAAAAAATTTTGAAAGTTTTCATTATGGCGTAATTTATTTTGAGTAGTATTATTTCGATTTAAAGTTGTATCAACTTTTTCACAAATTATCTATTAAATAAATAAAATTATTTTATATAATTTTTATTTTAATTTCTAAACATTTAATAAATATAAAATAATTTATACCTCAAAAAACTCATAAATTTCCAAATCAGTAGCTGGCTGAGAACATTTAAAATGATTATCTTTAAGTTTTAGATATTTTATTCGTTCTTCTAAAAATTTTTGTGTCTTATAAATACTTGTTTTCAATTCATTTTTGAATGTTGAATTTTGTGATGCTGCTTCACAGATTTCTTCAAGTGTATTTAAAGATTTAAAAACACCCTCTAATTCATTATCCATTTCATTAC